GGAGTTAAATGTCTATGGAGTTATCCATAGACAGTCTGGGAGTTGAATGTCTATGGAGATTCTCAATCATCCAGGTCATGGTTGTTCCAAAGGTGCTTTTCCAAAAAGCAACTGGACTTTCTTCTGAACTGAAGAAGCTTCTTGGATGAGAAGTAAAATGTTTTCAAGGAAAAAAAAACCAAGGAAGTCCAGTTGCCTTTTGGAAAAGCACCTTCTGGGAATTGAAGTCCACACGTCTTAAGGTTGTCAACATCGAGAAACACGGCAATATAAAGAATCATCTGTCCTTTCCTTGCAGCTTCTGTTTTGGGGTGCAGTGGGAAGAGGATTTGGGGGGAATTCAAAGGATGTTGGGCCCTGGAATGTCCCTGAATTGAGGTCACTCAGGAACCTCAACTGAAAAGCTCTTGTCCAAGCCTTCTCATCTTCAAACATGGGTGATGAACAGGAAAAAGATCTTTTCCATGGTTAGCCCTCCATCACTTAATTTCCCTTCTTTAATGGTCCACTTGATGCTTAATTTAAGTGGGGCTGTGCAAACCTTGAAGGAGTTCTTCACTTTGAAGATGCTTTGAGTGAAGCATCTCTTTGAAGATGCTCCATGAAGCCACACAGACCTCACTTCCCTTTTCAGAATAAACCAAAAATGTTTTCCAACGATTCCAGTCTTCTTCTAGAACATGGGTCTTCAAACTTGGCAAGTTTAAGACTTGTGGACTTCAACTCCCAGAATTCCTGAGCTAACATGACAGGAGGAGGTATTCTGGGAGTTGAAGTCCACAAGTCTTAAAGATGTCAAGTTTGGAGACCCCTGTCCTAGAACCATATAATCTCCTTGCCATGAGGAGGACATTATAGGATCATGAATCCAGAAGAGCCATTTATGCTGGTAAGTCTTGCATTAAGGCAGCCTTTAGCCTGATTGCACTATCTGAGTTATCATAACTGTGTGTTACTATTTTTCTAAGCCACTTGTGCCCCATTGCTGAACTACAACTCTTAGACAGCACTGCCATGTGAAAATAGATTGCCAAGTATTACACTTCAGTGAGAGCCAGGGGTTATTTGCTCCGTCCCTTATATCTTGATCCAATGTATGTGCATACTAGTACAATATATCATTATTATTTTCTCTACCATGTACTCTTTTGTGAGATATAAATGATTGTGTAAGGGCACACAGCAAGTCCGAAGTAAACAGTGTTGTATAATCACTGTTAATTACCCTGTTAGTAGCAACCAGATTGATAAACATAGTGAGAGAAATCAAACACACTCCCCCATCACTTGACATATGCTTATATTACATTTCTATGGAAAAATCTATACATTTAATAAGATGTATTAAAGGATATTCATAACCAAAAGATTTTTTATGATAATGTATTGTTTTAGAAAAGGAAGTTGATCTTTATTAGTAAATATAATAAGGGATTCTCAGGTATATAAAATGCCCATGTCAAATATTTAAACTAATAATGTTATATATTTGTATATTTATTATTACTTTTTATTACTTGCTTTATTTCTTTTTTAATAGGAAAAAAATCTTTATATATTTTAATGTCTCTACTGGATTTGTTGGTTATCTTTCATTTTATTGCTTGACTAATTTAATTGCATATTTTTTAAATAATATCGGGTTAACTCTGTATCAAACATTTGCTTTTTATCTCCTTCTGCATTATATTATACTGCTTTTAGTGCTTTTTTTAACAATGGTTATTTTACACTGTTGTGTAACTTTATATAACACCTAAGGAATCTGAGACAGAAAGCAAGAGAAGGGAGAGAAAGGAAGGAAGGAAGAAAGGAAGGAAGGGAGGGAGGGAGGGAGGGAGGGAGGGAGGAAGGAAGGAAGAAAAAGAAAGAAAGAAAGAAAGAAAGAAAGAAAGAAAGAAAGAAAGAAA